CAATGGGAATTGAACCCATGATCTCCTGAGTGCTACTTGTGAGCCTTCCAACTAGGCTTACACTACTGATTAGGATCTTACCTTGATGGTTTGTGGTCTTTCTTTTTTTTTCTTTTTTTTTTTTTCGTTTTGTCGTTTGTTGACTTTTGATGACATGTGCGGGTGTTTGTTTCCAGCCATTTTGTGTCAAATGCGCACGCTTTTTGGCGGACCGGTTTGTTGAGGGCACCTGCCCTAACTGTGCCTATGAAGATGCACGCGGAGACCAATGCGACAAGTGCGGGAAATTGCTCAATCCGGCCGACCTTGTAAATGCACGCTGCAAGGTAAGGACCACGTTTTTGTCAATTACAGATTTGCTTCTCGGACTTCTTCCTGTTTTGAAACAAGAGTAAGATCACATAAGTTTGGTGCTACAAAGCCCGTGTCACTGAAAAATTGTACAGACACGTCCTTTGGGTAAACAGATCATGACTTGGAGTATGGATGGAATCAGGTGAATTGCAATGCAGTGATGGTAGGGGTTAGCTACTTCCCTTAGACCACCAGTACCTCTGAAAGTTGCACTTGTTAGTTGTGTAGCGGATGTAGAGGCCTGCCTGTTGTAGGTTGACTTCATTCTTTGATGAACCATTGCGGTACTATAGCAATAGCTGGTAAAGGTACATCCGCTTCATGACTAATGGTCTGCACGACTAATGGTCTATAAGGTACTATAGCAATAGCTGGTAAATGTACACAGGTAGTTCGGAAAACAAAGGAAGAAACAGATGTGGAGCATGATTTGCTGAGCAAGGATAATGAATTCCCATTCTGAGACAATTGGACACTTTGGGTCTGCACGACTAATGGTCTATAAGGTACTATAGCAATAGCTGGTAAAGGTACACAGGTAGTTCGGAAACAAAGGAAGAAACAGATGTGGAGCATGATTCGCTGAGCAAGGATAATGAATTCCGATTCTGAGACAATTGGACACTTTGGGCCTCGCTGAACTACTCTCGAAATGTGCAAAACGAGAGTGAATCTTTCGCTAGAATATGGAAAGATACACCGCCAATATTTTTGTCTTTTGTGCATGTCGAGAGTAGTGCAGCGAGGCCCTTTGTTGGGTTTATATGGAGTTAGTTGGGTCGTTGTTTAGGTGGTTGTGGGTTTTGGCATGTCGTGTCACTGGTTCTGGGTTTGGTAAATAGATGCTACCAAATGAGCATTCTCTCTTTTCTCCCCACGCTTATGTTCTTCGTTGATGGTGTTTGTGGTGGCGTAACGTTTGGACTCGGACTTGGAATTCTGTGAACTTGTCATTTATTCTTTGCATGCACAGTGCTCCTCAGATCGGGCTAACGTATGGCAGATTTCCGTTCATACAATAGTTAAAATGTAGCAGAGTTAAAAAAAAAAAGGAAAAAAGTAGCAGAGTTGATACAGAGTTCGTTTGTAGATTCATCCATGTGGTGGCAGAGGTCGTTTGTAGGTTTGTACACGCGCCACAGAGTTGCATTCGCAGATTTGCACATTTGGCAGAGTTGCATTCATAGGTGGTTTTCCATATTCCATATCTGATGAGTACGCATAATAGATTTCTTGATCTTTTTTTTTAAGCCTGCTTAGCTCAAGGGAAAAAAAAAAGCGTTGCACTTGTAATCTCAAGTTCTCTGAGCGAAGTGGGCTCTTAAAAAGATGAAGATGTCTATTATTTATACACACATCATGTATGGGGAATCGATCACGTGTCCTGCGCTATGGTCTCTGAATGAAGTGGGCTTTTAAAAAGGATGAAGCTCTCTATTATATGCACTCGTCATATACGGAGAATACAAGTGGCAAAGTACTGTTAGTAGTAGATGCTTACATGTGGCAGAGTTCTGTTCTTAGATATTTACACGTGGTGGCTGGTCTGTTTTTACATTTTGTAAATGATTACTTGAGTGGATATGGTTGTACAGTCGGGCACGTAAAATTGGAGAGGTTCCCTCAGTCCCGACTGAATGTGTGTGGCTCGGTTTCTGAACGTATACTGAAATTGGGTGTGAGGTTGTGTGGGTGGGTAGTAGTAGGTTTTGGGGGAGGAGGGGGAGGAGGGTTGGCATTGTGGTCTGCCCTCTGTTGCATCTATATTTTGATTGATTGGTAATTTATGTGGCAGGTTTGTGGAGACAAACCAGAGATCCGAAAGACAGAACACCTCTTCCTCGATCTTCCGGCGTTGAAGCCGCAACTGGAGGAGTACATTAAGCAGACCTCGGAGATTGGAGGTTGGAGCTCAAATGCTCTGCAGATCACAAACTCGTGGATACGGGACGGATTGAAACCCCGGTGCATCACCAGGGACCTCAAATGGGGCATTCCTGTTCCTCTGGAGAAGTATAAGGATAAGGTGATGGTCGAAGCAACTCTAACGTAGTCCATTCAACTCTCTCTCTCTCTCTCTCTCTCTCTCTCTCTCTCTCTCTCTCCTGCATGAAATGAGCGTTAACGGAGAGGTTCGCCTCGGTTGGTGGGTGCACCTTGGGAAGTTGAGGTTTCCCCCCTCAAGTTGGCATGTCCTTTTGCTTGCATTCTGCATGTAAAGGCTCTTTTCAACTATCCCTGTCAACAACTATGCCCTTCAACTTTGCCTATCCTTTTACTTGCATACTGTATGTAGAGGCTCTTTCGACTATGCCCCTGATCTTTGCCTGTCCTTTTGCTTGCATTCTGTATATAGAGGCTTTTCCCACTATCTCCCTGCCCCTCAATTTTGTGCGTCCTTTTGCTTGCATGCGGTATATGGAGGCTCTGTCAACAGTTGCCACCTCTCGGTTATACCTCATGTTGCAAACTATTTCCCCTCAACTTTGCCCATCAACTATGCCCCTGAACTATATATCTGAATCACAATATAATATGTACAATAAATCAAATATCCATATTGATAATTATAATAATCTAATTATGTTATAAATACAATATCAATTGTCAATTATGCCCCTCAACTTCACCTTCCCTTTCTCTGTGTGAAAACTTCTAACTGCGTTCTCTCTCTCTCTCTCTCTCTCTCTCTCTCTCTCTCTCTCTCTCTCTCTCTCTCTCTCTCTCTC